TCCAAGGGGCTGACACTCAGGACACTACAGGGACCTGATGACAAAGGCATCTGTTTACACAAATGCAGAACCTGCCAAACTGCAAACCCACCTAGCAGAGGCCCTGTGAGTCCATGCAACCCCCAACATTCAGCCTGAGCTGTGAGGTCAGCTAGATGGCCCACTCCCCCATCTCAGCTGTGACTGGGAATCAGCAAAAGCTTCCAATGGAGTAAGATGCTCTTTGGGGGAATTTCAGACCTCATTTCTAGAAACACTGAATTCTAAATTACCTACTTGAAGTGGAATGGCAGACAAATAATTTTTTAATTATTAACTTTCCTTTTAAAAATGTTGTTTTTGTGATGAGTCCTTGCAATTAAATCTGTGTAACTTATGCAAATATGATGTCTCTAGTGTCCTCAAGGGCTCCTAAAAGCAAGGGGTCAGGGAAGAAGCTGGGGCTGCTGCCCAGAGAACCTATAGACCTAATTCTTTTTTCCAGGGACCACTGAACATGGAACTGGAAGGCTTTTGAGAAGTCAGGCAGGCTGACCTGTGCCTTTGGGAAATTCTGTACCTAAATCATCCAAGCAGATTTGCAGAACCTTTAAGGGGATCAGAAAGATTTCCTTCTAGAATGAGATTTTTCCAAGTTGGGAGATACTACAAACAGCAAAAAATATGAAGCTCTCCAGGCTGCAATGAAATCATCACTAGTAAGCATGAGTTATAAGCTAACTCAAATTTAGGAGGCCTGCCACTGAGCATGCCTCTGTAAAATTTATTCAAGAAGTTATAAATTCTCACACAGGACTCCTGAGACACATTCATAAAAAGTGAGGCTTAACAGAGTGAGCAAATGCATAGGAATCATTTCTTTACAAATAAAAGCAGGCAAGGTAGGAGAAACTATTCTTCAAGGCTGTATCTTAATTGAAAAAAAACACACACACATGTTGGTTAAAAACCAAATGCTGAACTAAACTTCTGATCCTTTTTCTTTGATAAGCAGCCTGTCTGTAAATAGGCAAAGGTTTTCAGCAACTTCCCTGAGCAATAATCTTGCTAACATTTAAAATTAAAAAACCTCTAAAGTTACTTTTCATTTTGTTACACATGCTTTTAAGAAAGTGTTCCGGGCTCTGAAAAAAAATCAGATAATCAAATCAAATCCTCAGCAAAGAAGAACTGAGGGAAGGAATGCACCACCATGGAAATAAAAGCTAAGGAAGCTTTGTTCATTCTTATCTTACTAGTCAATTGTTTTAAGTGATGCCATACTTTGTAAAGAAGGTACTGGAGTATGTATCATGCTTCTTTAATTACTTAATACTATCGGAACATTAATCATCTTATCATTATATGACTTAAGTGAGTATGGTACTTTGTTACAGTTTCATGTTTAGAAATCAGTGTTAGCCCACAGAGAAAATTATTCAGAAAACAACAGAGAAGGAATGGATGACAATGACCTAAACAAGTAACAGAAGAAACAGTGAGTCCTTTTTTGGTTTTTGAACTTGCCCTAGTAATAACCTTGTATTTCTTGAGAGTTGTTTAATTTGTAAAGCACTTTCCTTTGCTCCTGTTGCCTTATAAAGTAGACAAGGCATGTGTGGGCTACATGGAGAAATGCAAGACCAGAGAGGTTATATGGCTTCCCCTAGAACCAGGGGGGCAACTACAGCCCGTGGGCTGAATCCACTTGTGGTCTGTTTTTGTGTGGGCCATGGGTTAAAGAGTAGCTCCTACATTCTGCCAATGGAGTTTACAAGTGAGTCCCACTCCCGTGTCTATGCAGGGCCTATGGCTGCTTTTGCACTACAATGGCAGAGCTGAACACTTGCCACAGAGACTGTACAGCCCTCAAAGCCAAAAATATTTCCTCTCTGGCCCTTCACAGAAAAAGTTTGCTGACTCCTGCCCAAGACCCACAGGGGAGACATGAGCAGAATCCAGATTTTTAGGGACCAATCCAGTGTTCTTTCCACTCCACGTTGTGCCTTTCCTTACGCCATTTCAGCATGTGCTCCATCCTAGGCATATATGAGGGTAAGAGGAAGCATGATTAGGTATTTAAAGTAGAAAGAAAGACGGCATTGAGATTGGAGCCAGATATATCAAGTGAGGAGGAGGCAGGAGGTACAACTGACTTGGTCCTAGTTTCACAGGTCTGCAGGAGGAGAGAAATCCTGCTCCAGGATGGACCAAATCCTGACTCTCACCCATGACAAATTTAGATTATTTAAATGCTGAGATTTAGTGCCCTTTGAGCTGATATTTAGATTAGATATGAGACAGAGTTGATGCTGGAATAGATTAAGACTTTGGGGAATATTGGGATGGGGTGAATGTATTTTGCAGGTGGGATGGACATGAAGTGGGGAGCCAACTCCACTGAGCTGAACAGCATTCCCTCTGAAATCCATGCAAATCCCAACCTCAGAAAGTAACTATATTTGGAAATGGGGTCTTTGTAGATGTAATCAAGTTATATCCAATGACTGGCATTTTTATAAGATGAAGAAAATTTGGCACAGAGAGGAGAATGCCATGTGAGCACAGAGACACACGGGGGG